CATCGGGTGTTTTCATGCCATCTCCTTCTCCAGTCTATTCAACATGTCTCGTGGCCTCTCACTCATGAAACAAATTGAAACCCCAATCATCTCTTAAACCTAAGTATCTACAAAGTCCATGGCTTGGCATCAGTCTTTATCCTCGATCATCAAATCCCAACTTGACTTCCGAAATCGCCGCCTGATCCCTTCCACCATAGTGTTTAACCTCCCAAGTCTGATGATCGTGTTGTTTCCGTGGATGCTCAAGGCCTAAGATGCCAACTTTGTCAAGGTTGATCAAGCCCAAATCGAGTTTGATCTCATCTAGGTAAGTTTTGCTCTTTTTTTCCCCGTTAATCTATTTCAATTTATTGCATTTTATTGATTTCTTACCCAGCTTCTATCGTAAGGTTGGTTTTGATATTCTCTGGATTTATGTTATGTGCTATTGTTTTAACTTCAGTATAATGTTAATTTGTTCAACTCATCTTTTCTTTTGGTACATCTAAACAATGCCCATGCATCTCCCTTGATTATCTACTTTTTCCTATTTGGGGAGTGCATTTCACTATTTATTGTCTACCATATTTCCAAAAATTTTGTTTGCTGCATATCAATAAAACTATTGGTTTGCTTATTCTGTTATCAAAAGCCTCACTTAAGACATCACTTTTGTCTTATATTTCCAATGTATTGGAAATTTACATTCACCTGCTGATTTCAAATTCTGCCAATTTTATTTTCCCAATTCTTCATCATAATCTATCTAATAAATATTGGTTATTTGAAGGGTCTCTTCAATATGCATATATAATTTTATACTAGTCTCTCTTTTTAGTAACACAGAAGGCATAAAGATCTTAATGGCTAATATGTTTAATTTTATTAAAAATCTTAATCCTTTTAAAGAGTAATGGAGGATAAAGGTTAGAGTAATTAGGCTTTGGAAGCAGAAAAATTTTTGGTAGCTAAAATTGGGTGATAATATTGAAATGTTTCTTTTGGACGAACATGTTAGAGAAATTACAACAATCGATCTCCTTTTTGGCATTTGGTCTGAGGAAAAGATAAAGATCCCATATGATTGGAATCTTATCTATTTTTATTATTCTTTTTTTTTATTATTTACAGGACATTCCAGTCTTATTAACTCTGTATATTTACAGATGAAGATGATGAATTTTTCAAAGGAATCAACATTGTATTGAGTAATGATATGTCTGAAGGTACCATTCTTTGTTTTAGAATTCCTCTATTTCTAATTTCAAAGATTAGACTTCCTTTATGTTATGGTTTTATCTTTAGATTATAACTCGAGAAATTATTCTGTAGTTACTTCAGTTCAGTCAAAGACTCAATCTTTACATTTGACAATTTGAGCTTCTCACTCTACTGATGACAAGAATAGGGTGTATAGTCAGCTTGGTTTGTCTTCTTTGCCTTTCTTTTTTTTTTTTTCTTTTTCCCTTTCTCTCCATTTTCATGTACTTGGGTTTATCATGCTTTCTTGGTACTATAGTTCCAAATGGATGTCTGAGTTTTGAATTGATCTGGGATTTCAGACGCTAATGAGCATCAACTATTTGAGTTAATGTCACAAAAAAATTACCTTTATTGAAGAAATGAGAGTGCAAACTAGAGAGATGTTTAAATATTGGCATTTAGTTTTGTAGCACTTTGGATGTTATGTTTTAGAGAAATTGAAATTTACTACATTGCAATTCTCTAATTCTCAAAGAACATTTGGTGTTTTTAATGTAATGTATTTCCCAGTTCCCATTGTTGAGACTTCAAACTTGCCTAGAGGATCAGAGTTCTCAAATCAAAGCTGAGGAGTTCGTGATTTATTTTAAGATATTCTGTTTTCAAAATGATTATTCTTGAGAATAAGCTACGAGTTTTAACAAATTCTTTTGCAGTTGTTTATCTTTTCGAATCTCTTACATCTTTATCGTCCTTTCTCACTTGAAATTGGATATGTTAATTCAAATGGTTTAGGTTTATTTTCATTGAAAATATTGAAGATGTTATTCTCTATGTAGAGATGTTAGCACCAACTGCCCTGGAATTTGAAGAAACTAGACGAATCAAATAAGAGGAAATGATCTGTGCCTATAATTTATCGAATGATCCTGCTAAATCCAATGAAATTCATGTCAAGTTAGCTGGTAATGCCAAAGTGGTTGATCCTCTCAAAGACCTAAAATACAATGTATTTATTTATTTTTATTTTTATTTTTATTTTTATTTTTTTGAGATTAGTTTCAGTTGAGTTTTCTTATAACATATGCTAATTTTATTTTATAGAAACGAGAACATAGAGTCTTGACCTGTATTGGGTTTGTAGGCTAGAGTAGCATGACAGAGGATTGACCTATAGCTTTCAAGGCATAGCATCATTTGCTAAGATAATTGAGATTTTAGAAAGGTTCAATGTTCTTTGGTTTAGCTAGATGATACCCACATGAATAGTTGTATTTGCATACCACCTTTGTTTTAATTTATTAGAATCTAAATATACTTCTAAATGCATATTAGTTGTACCATCATAATATTCTGTTCATAACAAAGTTAGAGACAAAGGGATTCTTTAGTATGATTCAGTTTATTAGTCTTGATTGAGTTTAGGAGCTTTGCCTATTGAATCTGGTTAGTTTATAACAAATTATTCAAATGCGTCTTTGACATCTCTCTAATTTTGGGTTTCTTCTAGCAATGGTTGGTGGTAAAAAAGTCTGTCTAGCTTTTAGCGTTTTTAATGTTACAAAATTACTTCACGCAAAATGGTTAAATGGTTTTAGCTTTAATGCTTCCGGCTTTCCACTTTTTTCAGCAATTATATTACTTTCTTCGTCAATTTGTTACATGGTTTGTAAAGAAATGAAGAAGCTATCATGGTATGAAAGTGCCATCTTATGTAGCATCATTAGTTTAACATGAAGAAATCCCCAAAGATTAACCCTTGAAATATGCATTAGCTCAGGCTTTAGCTTTCTGCTTATACAATTATTATCTCATGTGCAAGACAAATTAGTTAATTATAACTGTTCTTGAATGATTTTCACAATCCTAACAGTTGATATATGGGATGGACTTTTTTTTTTAATTTAATTGTAAGATTTGGTGTGTAATAAGATTCCTTCTCCATTTTTTGTAATGATTGCTCTGAAAGAATGCAAATTTGTGTAGACATGCAAAAAGTTAACAAATCAAACTGATTGGTGGAGAGCTCTCAATTATAATTGTTATTGATATAAAACTATGGATGATGCACGCTGAAGTTGCTAAAAAGTTTGTATATTGCTACAATCAAATAATACTTGCTGGTGATACTGTTCATTGACTCCCTTGTACTTGTGGTTTTGGTTAGTAACTCTGTTTTTCTAAGCAAAAAACATTTTGATTATTTAGAATTTTCCTTATCTTCTAATCAATAGTTTGTAACTGAATTTTCTTGAATGCACGTAAACCTAAGGCTATGGGATTTACCATTTTACCTTGCCTCTGTTTATTTCCTTCTCCTTTATGGGTATCGTGGAGACAACAAAATGCAACGTGTAAAATGCAATACATAATTACATATGTTAAAGGTGGCTAGAACTAGGAATTTGTTTACAAATATAGATGCAAAATCATCCAGCAGTATAAAGTATATGTATGTAGGATGCTGGGATTCATTATTGACTTTATTGCTTTTTACATTGACTTTTTAGTGACTATGAATTGATAAGAGCATTTATGTATTGGTGAAGGAAGTTTGAACATGGTCTAAAAGATACTTAACAAGAACAACACTTTGCATAAAAGGACATATTGGATAATGACAAGAAATGCTTCTTTAATTTTTGAATTAGTATAAAGAGATCTCTTAAAGAAAGTTTACTTGCTATTAATTCTATTCTACCTACTTAACTATACTTTTATTTGAGCTTTGCTACAGGCTTCATAGCTTTTGCTGTTAGTTTAATTGCTAGGCTTCACTAGTCTCATTGTGGGTGAATTTCATTACAATATACTTTTGAGGTATTGATTTAGTTTCCATTGTTTTTTGTAAATGTATTCTTGCAAAACACATTTGATAATGTGTTATGTAATATGAGACAATTCTCATTTCTTCAAGTTGAAATTTGATTGCAGAAACCTCCTATGACAAATTCCTTACATTGAGGTTGCGTCGTCCATGTTATTCATGAATCATATATGGCAGGGAATATTATGGCTATAATAAGACACAACATCACGAGTATTTTGTTATTTTTATTATATCCCCAAGCAGTTAAATATGCATATATTGTGGAATTGACATAATTAAGATTAAATTCTCTAAAATTCACTGTTATATTTTTCTTTTAAGTAATAATGTATCCTTTCACTACTAATTTCTTTTTAATATTAAATTTTTATTTTATTTTTTTAATTTCAAGGCACCGGGCATTGCCCGGGGTATTAACTAGTT